GTTGTTAGTTAGGCTGTGTATACCTGGCATTTGCTTCCATTCGACATTATGTAGCTTAGGCTGCATCGCATGGACTCCGCATGGAGCTTGTTCCGCATCCTAAATTTCTCAGCTTTCTTTAGTGCAGAGTTTCGCTGCTTTTGCGGATAGCGTGTTTATGGCTCTTGTGATCCATTACAGGTCTGAGGATCGTGCAACGGGCCTCCATCTACCCTGGCCTACAGCCAGGGCCTATTCGGCTATTTGCCAGTTCGGCCTGTGGGACCAGGTCGTGGCCTGACCCCACAGGCCGTGTACTGTTTCAGTCCAGTCCAGTCCTGCCCGGTACCACTGTCGGTACCAGGCCAGTCCAGTCCAATCCAGTCAGTCTGCTGGGGGTATACCCCAACTGCAGTTTGTTTTTCATCATTCTTCACCTTTGCACATCTTGGAGTACGTGCGTGTTGAGTCTGCGTCGAAGCTGCGCTGTCCCTTCCAGCTCCATCTCTACCTCCTCCTTCATCAACCCTTCTCCATCCTGACGAACCCCCATCCCGGCGGGTCCGACACAGTCGTACACCCCCTCTTTGACGCTCGCACTACTCTTACCACACATAGCGTGAAGCCTCACTTCCGACTACTAATATATCTGACGTCGTTATCGCACTTGCGATAGTAAAAACCCTTGACCTAGCCTTTAGGATTGCCCGATTCCGCTAGAAGAAAAGCGAGATTAACCTCCTCCAACCTCGTCTCTTCCTAGTCTTCGTTAAATCTGCATTGATGTCAACGCTTCTTCCTCCTTGTACTCTCCGGCTTGTAGCGTAGCGCGACCCGCCCTAAAAAACAAGGTGGTTCCGACATTATGCGTTTTGCCCTTGTGCAGGGGCTATGCTAATATTCTTTGTATTGTTCCAATTTTAATAGATGTCTGGAAGGACCACAAAAGGCCACGGGCCTTCGGCTGCCAACGACGGGTTGGCCGACACTCCGACCATTAAGGATTGTAGTTACTATATTTCACTCTTTTGCTGCCATTTGAGTTCAAACTCAGATTCGTGTTTCAGCAGTTCGGTGGTGTATCAACTAAGCTAGGTCCGTTGGTCCAACACCAGTGGGACCAGCACCGGCACGCTGTCCCAAAAAAAAATGGTGTCGGGACTTTTAGATTAAAATAGAAATAACAAGAGAAAATGGCACTCAAGGGTAGGAGGGGATTGCCAGCACCTCGTCGGTCTTGTCAATCAGGCCCGAAGCCGAGGCCGGCCGCAAAACCAAGGGAGATAGCCCCACCGGGCCCTCAACCCCTTGGCCTCTTCAAGCTGCTCCAATGCTCCCTCGTTGTTGCCCGTTGGCGTGAGCCTACAAAAGTTTCCCATGGCCATAACTTTGCCTCCCAAACAAAGTCCACGGCCGCCATTCATACCACCTCTCAGATCCACACACAACACTTACTTCCAATCGCGGAAGCCCAAACTTTATCTATGCCAAAAGCTGCGGGGAAAATTCCTTCTGACGGCACAATACAATACCTTAGTCCGCCGTGCGCATCACGACTCAAACAATCCCTTTAAGTAGACTCAAAATAGCCGCTTTCGATGCCCGCGGCGTCGTAGTCAGTCTTGACGCCCAGTACAGAAACACCGCTTCTGTGTATGCCATGCACGCGCGTGTCACGGCCATACGTACCGACCAACCGAAAAGACTATTTACTCGAACTTAATCAAATATAAAAAAAACTAGGCGGCAAGCGTGTCGGCTCACAGTAAAAAAACGAGTCATGCGCGCCTCAAAACTGCGTGCCCACACACCCTCTACTTTTAGCCAAACATTTTAGTCAGAGTAAAGAAAAGACAGCCACGACTCGCGTGGTGCACTCAAATTTCAAGTCAAAACTTATTTTTCGTCATTGCAAAACCCAAGGCGGATACCCTTGTAAGGGTATTCGCACCAACAACAGCCCACACACGGATCAAATTAAGTCGCACCAAAGCACGATGCACCAAGCTCACGGAGCACAAAGAACCAGTTCAGGAAAGCACCGACTTCACAAAGAAGCACCAAAGCACAGACCACATACCACGCACCACAACGAGAGAGAGAAAGAGAGAGAGCACTATGGTAGCCAGGTGCCACGTATCACCGGGG